ATGTGGTACAGGTAGTGTATAAAATGAATTGTAAAAGTAAAATCAAGATAATAATGTAAAAAAATTTCAGAAGATGAAGATGATAATAAAATGAAAGGAATTGATAATTTGATATTGTTGAATGTTGATATTTGATAATTTGTAAATTGTAGAGAGTAGAGTAGAGAATGGAGGGTTGGTGGGAAAAAATATTGATTAGGGGGTGGGTATTTATAGAGAAAAAAATTAAAATAAAATCTCAGTGATCCAAACGGTCACTGAATTAAGTTCTGGTCACTGAAAAATGAAAAGGCTTTTGCCTTTATTATTATTATTTTTTTAATAAATAAAACGATTCGGCTCGTGGGCTCGTAGACTACCAGTCGAGCAGGCTCGGCTCATCTAGCGAGCTAGCCCGCTTGGCTCGTGCTCGGGCTCGTCTTTTGACGAGTCCGAGCGGCTCATGAGCTGCTACAGTAGGAGCCAAGCGGGTGATCCCACGAGCCGAGCGACTCGATTGCCACCACTAGCAGGAGAGGTTGCCCCGACCCCGCCCCGTTGCCATCCCTATACATATTTGCACCTCAACAGATCACATTTTTTAGGAATGGCAGCAAAACGAGATAGGGGGCAACCCTTTCCATTCCCATCCAAATCTAGTTTACTTATTTATTTAACTTGTTACTATAAAATAATAATCGAGACGAACATTGTATTACTTTTCCCCATCCCAGTTACTAAAAGGGGTTGATAACGAGATGGGGGCAACCCTTTCCATTCCCATCCAAATCTAGTTTACTTATATATTTAACTTGTTAATATAAAATAATAATCGAGACGAACATTGTATTACTTTTCCGCATCCCAGTTACTAAAAGGGGTTGAACGGTTAATTTCGTCATCCCTATATTTTCTTAGCAAAATGAGAATGTACATATTTTGTTAAGGTAAATACGTGTACACAATACTAGATATATTCACAAATAAATATCTTACACATCTTTCATTTTTACTCTTGTCCAACTTCTATTATGTCAAACCTAGCATACATATTTGAATCTATTCATGACATAACTTACTAAAATAAAAAGGGAAAGGCAACAAAGCTAAAATTGTTTTTTTATCGTCTTAGAAAGTGACGATGTTAAATCATTTGAATGAAACATCAATACTAATATGATCTTTAAAAGTATAATCTTTTAGAATTTCGCGATCTTTGAAGAATGACAATTGTGACATTAAATTATGGCTAGGGAATGAAGAATGTAATAAAGTACTATCATGCACGGTAAAATGAATTTAACAGACTTACCTACAATAAGTCGAACCTAATGTAAAACTTCTAACAAAAATAATTGCATAGAGAACATAATAAAATTAGACGAATGAGATTGAAAGCATCAACAAATAACGAATTTGTACATGTATTCATAAATTTTTCCTACTTTTCAACTCCATATATTTCAAAAAATTAGAGTCCGTTTTCTTTATCATTCGTTTTCTGTTTTCGATTTTCCAAAATAGTGAAAACGCGTTCTCTTTTCTATTTTCGAAAACGCGTTTTTGAATGTTTTTGGATGACAAAATGACAAATTTGTCTTTTTGGATGTTTTCAGTTATAATCAATCCAAAATTTTCCAAACGCGTTTTGGGTGTTTTCTAAACAAATTCTCAAAATGTAAAAAAGAACACATTTTCAATGATCTCAAAATGAACACTCAAAACATAAAACTCAAAATGAATTCAAAACTCAAAACACAAAGAGAACAACCACTTACTTTTTACAAAAGTCATTCTGAAAAAATCTTTACCAAATAGGATCTAAATGTAAGAAAAAGCCCCAAGTACGGGAAATTTTTGACAGATCTCTTTGTCAATGCAAACTTGGATAACTGTGATTCACCCATTTTTAATTTTTATTTTTTCTTCTTTCAATGAATGTATGCCAAGTGTTGTCTGTAAACATTTTCTGTCAAAAATTGTCTGTACTTATGATTGCTAAATGTATGGGTGGGAAAAGACGGTGTATTTTTGGTTGAATATGTTTGTTATGTAGCTGAAATTGGTGACCTTCTCAAATGTCATCACTTCAACCCTTCACCAAATCCTTCATCACTTTCCTCTTCATAGAATACAACCATTTGCAAGTTGCCAATTAACTTCTTTTATTATTATTTTTTATTTTAGTTGATTTCTAGGAGCAAAAATTTATTAATTAAGCTTACTATTTTCATTTTTTTCGTATCACATTCCACTTCCTTGCTTTACATAATCGATATATTAATTCTTTGATAACGAGAGATGATAGAATATTAAGAGTAGCTATTATTTTAATTAAACTCCTCAAATAACGTCCCTAACGAAAATGTAAATTATGGAGAGGGAATGAAGAATGTAATAAACTACTATATCGTAAAATGATTTTAATAAACGTAATTATGAAAATTAATACCTAATCGACAACTTAAATGAAAATAAAATTAAACGAGTGAGATTGAAAAAGTGTCACAATTTTAGTGACCGTGAAATACATAGAAAATAAAATGAGCGACGAGAGATTAAATTAAGAATACTTAAAATAAGAAATATCATTTTCTTAAAAAAAATATGAGATGGCATTCAAATAACTAGAAATTTGGATTTTTTCTAGGTAAAAAAGGTACAATGTCATCTAAAATAAAATACGAGTAGTAGAATTTTATAATTATGTACGATACAATTCCACTTTGATTGAGCCTCGATCGCCAAAATCGAGTCGAATCATTTTAGACCATTAAAACACTTGCTATAACTCATTTCATTGAGATATAGTCATTATTCCTATTTTTAAAACACTTGTATGTTTAAAATAAATTCAAAATAGAGTATAAAAAAAATTAAATATAAATACTTTATCGTTTTCGTCAAATAAAAGATATTCTTTGACACATGTGGGCCATGTCAGCCACAAAACGTGTCTAATTAATTTCTCACCTCTACGCTTCCTTCAAGTTCTCACCAACCTAAATCCTTCCGAACTCGGAAACTCCTCTCTATCTCAGTATCTCTTCTCTTCTATATATACACAAATCCTCTTTCTACGTTCAGTTTTTGTATTATCACATCCAAAGAGAAGATTTTTTTTTAGTAAAGGGTAGTCATCTGCAATCATGTTGGTTTATCAGGATCTTCTTTCTGTATTCATCTACTTTCTTCTACAATATAACTGTAGTTTTTTGGAATTTGAGTTTCTGTCAAAAAAAAAAAAAATAATAACTCAATGATGTCGTCAGAATAATGGATTTATGATTGTTTTTCAGGCGACGAGCTTCTTTCCGACTCATTCCCCTATAAGGAAGTCGAGAATGGCATGCTGTGGGAAGTAGAAGGAAGGTAGGATCTGTATTCCTTCTGATATTATGCGTAACAACTCGAGCTGCCTCTGCCCATCTTACCCATCTCAGCTTTGTGTCATGTACTCAGGATTTGAATCAAGGACCTCTATCTCCAATTGGTACTAGGATTTCAGTGAAGTCGAGGTTTGGGGTTAGAATCTGGGTAATGCGATAAAAAGCCGTGAGGGTAAGATGGGCAAACGCTCTCCCAGAGCGACAATATGTATGATATAACAATTTGGACATAGGTTTGTTACATTATGTAACTCTCATTTGTAGAGAAGAAATTTGACCAAATCTAAACTGTATTCCTTATTAATAGTGGGTTGTTCAAGGAGCAATCGATGTGAATATTAGGGCCAACCCTTCTGCAGAAGGTGCGGATGCAGATGAAGGCGTTGATGATCAAGCTGTCAAGGTCGTCGACACCTTCAGGCTTCGGGTTAATTACGAATGTGGATTTGCAGCTGTACATTTTTTTTTTTTATAGAGCAATGACTCATTCTTTGTAATTGTTTCCAGGAGCAACCTGCTTATGACAAGAATCAATTTGTTGCATATGTGAAGAAATATATCAAGAACTTGACACCTAAATTGGATTCAGAGAAGCAAGAATTATTCAAGAAGCACATTGAGGGAGCTACTAAGTTTCTTCTTCCCAAGCTTTCATAAATTGTAAGTCCAACTACACTTTCATAAATTGTAACAATTTTCATGTAGAAATCGATAGTCGATAATATTTTGCTACTTTTGACATGATTGGCAGCTTTGTTGGGGAGAGCATGCACGACGATGGAACAATTGTGTTTGCATATTACAAGGAAGGTGCCACTGATCCCACTTTTCTATACTTCGCTTATGGGTTGAAGGAGGTGAAATGTTAAAAAGAATAAGGAGAGTTTTTCGCTCTCATCGAGTTTTAGCTCGATTTACTCGATGTAGTTTCAGTGTCAGTTTTTGGTGTTTTATAGGTAATCGTAGCAATTTGTGGTAGTATATAACATAGGTTAAGTGTTATACATGACGATTGTATCCAAATATGGATATGACTTGAGTTGTACAACACTTAAAAAAATAGATTTGAAGATTATTTATTACGTAACGAATGCTTCAATTGAGATTTTGCAACATAATACGTCTGATGTTTTTTAATTTTCCTATGCCATTTGTAAGAGGTATATAATTTTTTTAATCATGACTTTATGTGTTACTTTTCACATGCTCATAAGGAATTTTTAATTGCTCTTGGAGAATTAGATACGAATAATGCTATCTAGCTTTAGTAGTCCGTTTATGTGACAATACATGACAAGTTGTCTGTGCATTTATGAATCCATCGTTTAATATTATACATGTTGCCACCTATGCTGGGTTGAAATAATATAGCATCACACATTACTGGCACGTGTAAAGTGGGTTATGCCATTTAGGCCTTGCAAGGCCCAACTCATAAGGCCTGACCTGGCTAATACGTTTTAATTGGGCCAGGCCAACTTTTTAGGCCTATTACAGTCATGACAGGCCAAAAAGATTTGACCTTTTGGAGTTTTTCTTTGAGGAAATTACACATACACCTGTTTTTAGATTTCAAATTTCACAAATAAGGTTTCAAATTTAACATTTCAAAAATCAAGTTTTAATTAATATTTTTAAAAACATTTTTTATTTTCAATTTTATATCTATATACAATAAATGAATAAAATCATTTTAACCCAACCAAAACCTAAAATTATCTCAACCAATCTACCCTCAGCTCTCTCATCTCCCGTCTCTCCCGACTCCCAACGCCGCCGCCTCCTCCAACGCCGCCGCCTCCTCCCAACGGCCGTT